TCTACACCTGTTTCAATGCATATATCCACGTGATACACGATGAAGACATGTGTTTTACAGAACACTAATGTTGTTGCACTCAAGCCTGGAATTTCATCAGTAATTTCATTATAAAAATAAGAAATTTTCCACCCTTCTCCAAACCCATCACATTTCGACCCAGAATAGTCCAATCCCTCGCCGAGTGTATCTCAAGCTCAACAGGGCATAATGCAATTCCGCCAGCCTCGCAGAATTCAAGAGAGAAGAGAGAAAAAAAAAAGGAGCATAACATGGACAATATTTTATTAGCAAATTGTTGCGTGGCTCGCTGCAACGGGGCCTTTGTTATAGTCGGCGGTGCTGTGAATGGGGGCTGCCCATTGTGGCTATACGTGAGTTCCCCGTGGATAGAGCTTTCAGACACGGAGACGAGAAATGGGCATTCACCAAACTGCCATCGGAGCCACAAAAAAATAATAATACTCGTTGCGTTGACTCACACGAACCGTGGCACATCGCATCGTCACTTATGCGGCGCGCACACCGGCAGGACAACTACAGAAACTTAGCATAAATGTGCAATACGATTCACGTATTATGCCAACGCGTATATAAATGGCCGCGGTCGATAACGTCTAAACGCTGGATTGTTGACAATAACACAAAAATGGAAGTATTCGTAAAATCCTTGGAAGTGTGCTTAAATTGTTGGAATTAAGACCTAAAAAACAACAATCTAGATCTATAATTCGTTGCGATATTTATGGGGTTTTTGGGGGGTTTTGTTTTATAATGCACGAAAATAAGGGACGAAAAAATTGAATAAAGGTTTTAAGTTACAATGATATTCTTTTTTATGTGATGAAAATTATTTTGGTTCAAAAACATCTTGCCTGCATTGTGTTGATAAAGTTGTGTTAATTCATGTCATGGAATTCCACAAAACATACACTGCAAATATTCATTATTAGCATTGTAAATAACGTCCCGACTGTAAGTATAACGGAGAGTGAATCTATTTTTGTTAGTGAAGAGTCTTCAGCAGGCCTGCATCTGATTGGACTTTGAATTAAAAGGGATAAAATGAAGAACATATGTAGAGTATTTAGCTGCAAAAACAGAATTGAATGTCAGTGTTTGTGTTCAGCAAACTAAAAGCGACTCATAAAATGTGATGAGAAAATATGTAATTATAAAATTCGTGTGGGTCATCACTTGATATTGAAATTTACGATTTATATTTCTGATTCAGATGTTTGTTTTATTACGATATTTTGCAACCCTTTAAAACACTAGTAATAGCGAAAGCCTGTCCCAAATGGTAGACAATGATTTTCCAAATATCGCAAGAATTAAAAAAAACATCGAGCAATTATGCTTTCTCTCATTTGCCATGGATTTCTGAGAAAAAAAATCTAGCATGCTCGAATTTATGACTCCAGATAATCTCTTGGACATAAAACTCCTATTTCTAAGAAATCGCCAGTTTCCATTTTGCTACAAGTACACATGTATAACCATTTCCACCGTAAAAGAAAAGGGCAATTTGTTTGTCCACTTCTTGCCCAAACAACTTATAAAATAGCAACTGCCCCACAGAGTTGCGCAAGTTCTCTACAAACATTGGTGAAATTTTACTCAACTCATGCAGCAGTCAAAATCATTCAAACTAACTGTCGAGTTAGAAAATCATTGCCTTACATTTCCACCAACTGCCTTAGACAACTGGACGGAGTAGCTTGACTTTCTACTGCCTCAAACGCAAGAAGAGAAGACAAACTTTTACAAATTTATTATTATTATTATTGTTATTATTGTTTGTATAATTTCCGTAGTAGTCTTTAGTAGTGAGCAAAACTTTCTACCACTTGACCGCGCCACGCGGACCCACATTCGTGGGGACAAACCTCCGAAATGACGGCGGGCAGAAGTCTTCTTTTATTGGCCTTGAACCACAGCGGGCGCAGTAACCCAACGCGCATCAAGAGAATGAACATCCCCTAGCAAATTGCATCAAGGAGCGGCAACTAAAGAAAAAAAAGGCGCAAATGTAATTTGGCGGGACGGGCGCGAGAGACGTGATGCCTTTTTAAGCGCGCGTCAGCTAATGCTTGAGTCACAGTGGAAAAGCCGCCTGTGTGTACGTACGGAAGGATAGTACAGTATTTCACCTATAGGCGACTTGTATTAAGAATACAAACCTTCCATTGTGCCCACGTGAGCTGATGTCACCGCAATAATTCCACCCTCACCTATACTAATCCCGTTTCTATCAACAATAGAATAGAAGAGAGGCAATGTCATATTGTATTTTGGCGACTACACTTTTCAACATGAAGAATGTTGTACCTATCATTTATTTTCACACGTTTGAATCACGACTTCTGTAGATTTGTGGATGTCCGTGACATGATTAGGCATCGTACGAAAGCTTGTTCATATCATTAAGCACATTAAAGTGACTTCATATTGAGACAGAATAACATACACGATTTGCTATCTAAACGTTCCTGAAACCGAACTTTAAAATGTATACTTGACGGTTTTTTTTCAACTTATTCCTGATGCCATGAAAGGACTTTCATTTTGTTGCAAATAAAAATAAAGACGTCTTAGACTAGACATGTGCAAAAGTGGGTACAGAAGTGTTCACATTATTAGCACAATGTATACACTGTATAAATTGTGCATAGACCCATATGTTTCAGCATTGCAAGGTACAACTCGACCACCTATGTGGATTGAAAACTAAGCAATCCAAAAAAAAACCCACAAAGTTACTCAACTCATCGATATTATATAGATGTATTTCTTTTTAATTTTACAGCCAAAATCGAGTAACTTTTAACCAAAATACCACACGATGAAGGCTCATGTTACGCTCCTTTTGGACCAAAGTGGATATCTGATAAGCAGTGAAATAGGCTAAGCAAGTTCATTTCCAATTTTGCTTAATTCCTTTTATTTGTTTGGACCATTTATCATTGCATTGACAGCTCTGTGTCCATTCCTCCCCCGTCCATTTGTATGCATGTGTGCCACCCCATCCCGCACCCTGTGTCTCACTGCTGCTGTCTCATTAACAACGCCATTGTATCTATAACTCCTTTCGTTTCTCATCCAAAATGATGAGGCTGTGAAGCAGTCACGTGACCGACCAAGCTAATTACGTCTCAGAAAAATCGGGCCAAACTATTCTCATTGTGTTCCTGCCATCTTGTTGGAATCGCAAGCAAAAATGGAAGCACAACGGTTTAATCATGGAGCTTTTATAGCTCCATGGTTTAATCATGTAGCCTTATGAACGACTAGGTTCCTTTGGTCAAGTGGAATCGATGTCGATCAATATGAGATGACTAATTTTTGTTTTGTTTTAGGACGCCCAGTTTTTACAAAGGGAAACCGGGGAATAAATCGGGCCAAACTATTCTCATTTTGTTCCTGCTATCTTGTTGGAATCGCAGGAAAAATGGAAGCACAACGGTTTAATCATGGAGCTTATATAGCTCCATGGTTTATTCATGTAGCCTTATGAACGTAAAGACACTGAACGCAACGACTAGGTTCCTTTGGTCAAGTGGAATCGATGTCGATCAATATGAGATGACTAAGTTTTGTTTTGTTTCAGGACGCCCAGTTCTTACAAAGGGAAACCGGGGAATATTGTTCCCAGTTTCCCAATCTTAATATTTGTTTTGCTTTTGCTGAAATCGACGGGCAGGACAAGCCCGGATCTATGCCTTCCTGTTGCCATATTAAAACTCGTCTGCCGTATACTGAAACGATGCGTGTAATATCCGCATTCGTATGCACTGCAGCGCAAGAGATGATGACCTCTGACGTCACAGGTCAATCAGCTGGTACCCGTGTTTCACTGTGAAGCAAGCCTTAAAGTCCAGAATCTTTATTGCTAGAATTTATGTCATTTGCACGTTCTAACACCAAGCAGTAAACAGCTTCTGGTATTTTTCTTGTACATTTTGACCAATACCATTTTTGGGGGCTAACAGAACCTGACCAACTGGTGTCCAGATACAAAGATTTGTGTTATTTTTTAACCACTCCTTGATAATATTGAACAATGCGATATAGCAAAGACACATTTAGTGTTTTCACCCGTTGCTGCGCTTACAAGCTAAAAACTTCGCGTGACATTGTAACAAAATGACAATAAGATGTTTTGTTTTCCTTTGAAATTATCATGTGAGAGCCGTTATATAGCTAGTGCAGCACTACCCTGAGAGTAACTTGTTGAACAGATATGACCTTATTGCATTTATAAATTGAATGTAGTCATTACCATAAGCCTATATTAGTTTCGTTCTTGGTTTCGTGGTAATTTTGCCACGCGCCTTTGTTAAAGGGTAGAGAATTCCATAGTTACATCAGGAACAGGACATTTCAAACTTAAATGTGTATATGAATATAATCGCCAGTTCCGAAGGATAACTTCACGCATTGAAGGTCAGGAAATCCGGTTGTAAACGGATTCCTCATGAGAAAGAAAATTAGAAGATTGAGAGAATTTAGAACATTTATTAACGATGGAATTGAATGGAAAGTGTGGACATAGTATGACAGTACCAACCAAAGCATCAAAAGACCTGTGCCGTGTTTGTGTGTTGCACCATTTCCTGTGTACGTATAGCACAAATTCATCGAGTTGAAAACGCCAACTTGCAAGTGTCACCGATTCTTACATCGCATTTCCCGCCTTGGAAGTGACTTCCTGTTATAAATCCGTGGCGATAATAATGTTACGTAGAGTATGAGGTGGTGTTACATGAAACTTTCTGTTCTCGAAAGTTGTGAGCTCATGTACAAACGGATCTGCACATTGTGCAGATCTTGACTCTAGAAAAAGTGAATGACTTGTTTTATCGGCAGTTTTTTTGAACTTGCAAATCTCAAAATGAATAACTCCAAACTGCATGACTTCGGAGTAATTAAAACAAAAACTAAAATATTGAAGGGAAATATCCTCATTTGCATTTCATTTACATGTCATTTGCATACAGGTCACAGCGGGGTCAACCAGCTCGGCGGTATGTTCGTCAACGGCCGGCCGCTCCCGGACTCCACGCGGCAGAAGATAGTGGAGCTCGCCCACAGCGGGGCCCGGCCCTGCGACATCTCCCGGATCCTCCAGGTCTCCAACGGCTGCGTGTCCAAGATCCTGGGCCGGTACTACGAGACCGGGTCCATCCGCCCCCGGGCCATCGGGGGCAGTAAGCCCCGGGTAGCTACCCCGCTGGTGGTCAGCCGAGTGGCCCACTACAAGAGGGAGTGCCCGTCCATCTTCGCCTGGGAGATCAGGGATCGACTGCTGGCTGAGAAAGTCTGCACGCAGGAAAATATACCCAGCGTGAGTAGTACTCCATTTCTCAATACAAATTTAAAAAAATAATAATAATAATAAACAAAATAATTATAATAATAACAAAATTAGAGAATTGGCATGCGAGGTTTGTCATGATGATTTCTGAAAGTAGACTGGTGCTGATCGCATCATTTGACTTCACAGGGCCACATTATGGCGCGGGATTGGGTCTACGACTTTTCAGGCTCATTTGATTGCATAACTCTGGATATGTTTTTCTTGGTTTATGTTCCTACTTTCTATGAGCACAGCGTCTGTGGTTCAATTCCCGCCAAGCATTACATTGCCTGTAAACCTTCGATAATGTCTGGTTACAATTGGCGTGAGCAACAATCTCATAATTAAATTTGAATTGATCGTGATCCAAACCTTTTTTTTTGTATCCCCAAAATGTTATGCTGGCAGCCCCTTTGAAAGACGCGGCATTTTTTTTTCCAAAAAAAAAGAGAAGAATATCACAAAAGTTCCGACCGCCGACAATCTCAATCCAAGGCCAAGCCGGTATTCCTCCCGGGACAATAGAAAATATTCCCGTATGAAAACACCAACCCCGACCCCTACAACCCGGAAAATAATACTTGTCCCCACTAAACAAACAACCCTGCACGAACGTAACCCAGACACAGGAACATCTACCCAGTCGGTTTCCCTCTTTTTTCATAACAAGCCAAGTTTTGCCTCCTTCAAAGAGGCGAAACTGGGAGAAAAACACGCCGTGGAACCACCTCCTTTACGACCTTACAAAAAAACAACAATGTGTTCTTTTCCCCTTTCTTTTTCGTCCCAAATAGTACAGCCGTACGGGGGTCAAGGGCTGGGCCGGGCCCGCTGCTAACAAAGAGTCCGCCGTGTTTTTACTTTTTTTTTTCACCGCGCGCTCGGCTACGCGCCGGCGGAAAAATGGCTCCAGCCTGGCGAGCGAAGTGCCGGCCCAGCTCGGGGTTGGTGTTGTACCAGCACACGGTGGTTGTTTTCTTTTGCGAGGATGGAATGAATACCGAAATAACGGGATTGTATTGAGGTTTTTTATCTTAATCATTTGCTTTCTTCAGAATGCGAAGAGAGAAAAAAAGGTGCTTACTTTATTATATGCCGTAATAAGGTACAAACAATAAGCGGCCTTAACACTTCAACATTTACGCAAGCTTGTGCCACACTTTTTTTCTGCGGTTTGTTTATTATTGTACAATCTCCCGTCAATCAGATTTTTAATCACTTCTTTCTTCGTTTCTTAATTCGCACGTCTTGATGTTTAGTGTGTCGATCGAACGGCTGGACCAGCAACAGTTTAGATGTGGTATTTTTTTATCGAAAGTAATCACAGTGAAGCTTAAATTAACACTAAATTTGAACGATGAACTGATGAGATCGCAGCAGTCAGAATTGGTCTTTTACAAGTTGATTTTCAGCAAATCAAAAAGGAAAAACGTCAGCATTTGGAGGGACCCTTCCACATTTCTAGCAATTTTCATTAACACTATCATGCTAAGGTGTGGGAAACATCACATCAAAATTTGAGGATTTAGGATTGTTAGGATTAAAATTCTTAGAAGGTTCTACAAAATGCAAATTTGTGAACACTTGTTTGTCACTGAATTGAATCTTACGAGCCTTGCGTAAAACAAAATTACACTAGACCTAAGTGTGTTTATAAACAGAACTTACCGAGGTGTTTTCCCCACTTTGGGCAGTCTTACGGTTTCATGCGCTCTCAACTAAATACTATAATAGTTATGACAATGTTAGATTTTTAAGTATCTGGTTCATAATTGCGCCTATTTAAGAAGTACGTTTTGCACCTTCGCGACCATATTAAGGCGCTGATATGACGCCTTGCCGCACACCTTTACAATAGCGTGCCATTAGTGCACCTGAACTCACAGGCAGTTGTGTAAAGTGCTAATGACGTCATTGTATGGGCGTGTTTTCTCCGGAGATAACTATGAATGTGCATAGTTAAGTGTTCCTAGTAAGAGGGTCTCTCAGCAATTTAAACTCAATCAAAAAACCTTCTGTACGGGTGACTCTAGCTGCCCTCACTGCCAACATTGGCTTATAGAGAAGCAATTACGGCAAAGTGTCCAGCTCATGGACACATGACCCGTAACTCCATTTAACATTTTGAAACTTCATTTCAATTTGTAACGCAACCGTCCGCGTGGTGTTTTGAGAGAAGTAATTACGGCAAAGTGTCAAGCTGAGGGACACACGATCCGTAACCCCGTCGATTTTTAAAACTCGTTGGTTTTAAACCCTCTCATAAGACAAAACAATAGTTGAGTAGGCCTATTGACAGAATGTTTGTTCCAAATTGTTACGCAACCGTCCTCCAGGTGTTTTGAGAGAAGCAATTACGGCAAAGTGTCCAGCTTAGGGACATACGATCTGTATTAAACCCCGTTGCTTTTTGAAACTCATTGGTTTTAAACCCTTTCGTAAGACAAAACGATAGATTTGGGTATTGAAATTATTGATTCAATTTGTAACGCAACCGTCCTGCAGGTGTTATGATTAGTACGGTTTAAGACTTGTCAGTTGATTTTTCGATATAAACCCCTTTTTTTAAATTATCACCGCGTAAGTACACTTTATATAAAAAGAAATTCATGATTTTGAACCCGTTCATTTGGGAGAATAATAAAAACAACATAGAATTTTAACCTTCAGGTCTTTGACATGCCGACACAGCGCACCTCTTACGCGTCATTTGGAAAGAATAAAGTGATGAAGTATTCAATTCTCGCATTTTTAGCGCCCCGAAAGAAAAAATAATAATAATAACACGACACGAAACTCACGCACCGCTGCGAGATCTGAAAGACACTTCGTTACGCAACTTTTGCTGCCGGGACGGGACGTCTCACGCATCGTCGAAAGTCCTGAACCAAAAATAAATAAAGAGGAACACAATTATTGAGCGTGTCTCTTGCGACGAGCTGGCCGGAGTGTGCCGGGAGGCCGGACGGCCAAGCTGGTCTGTGGCGTGGCGGTAAAGTTCAAAGTGTCCCGAAGGGCGAGATTATTGTTTCCGTCTTGATGACCACAGACGCCTCTTTGTTGCGTTTCTGCAAAATCCCAAAACAGCTGTAAAATTGCACAGATATACACGGAACGCCTGTGGAGTCAGATTTATCATTTAAACTTGTTTTATTTACAAAAGACAAGGTCATTGCGATCTTCCTAAACATTTGTTCATCACATTTACATCTTTACGGTATCGTCAAATTAAAAACATGTTCTTTTCAAGCTACGTTCAGTAGAACATACCCCATAATTTAGCTTGCATGTTGCATTCTCCTAGACCAAACTTCACACCTCAATTTTGTTTTAATGAAAAACAAACACATTTTTCATCTACTATGTTTTACTAAGTGGAGTTAGCAGAATCCTGAACATGATCTTAGAAATTATGCTTCCCACTAAAGTTACTCCTCAGTTGTGGAGCATTGCCGTTTGTTTGTCCAACTTCGGCCCCACTGTCCGTCAAATCTTTCTTGTTTAACTTTCGTGTATCCACATTTTCCCCTCTTTTTGATAACCTCGAATCCCGTTTCGTTAGTTCCCCCTTTAAAAATTCCCCTCTTAGTTCTTGAATATTTCATACTTTCATTACGACCTTCAACTTCTATCCTGTTATGAAATCCCCCCCCCCTTTGCTCAAGGTTACCGCAGCTCAACATTTTAGTCCGCCTGGCCGATCCCATTAGCTTTGCCCAATCGTGCGGCAGCCAGCCCGTACCCGTTACCCCTGTCTGCCCTTTTTGCCAATCTCTTTAAAGAAAAAAAAAAAGCTCCCCAATTTTTGGAGATTGTAAACACCGGCTCTACTTCAGCGAGCGCTATAAACCTGCACACCGCCTGTGCTAAACCCAATTCATCTCTGTTGAGTCCAATTTGTTTCACTGTATACGGAACTTTAGGTTGCCAGGAAAATAGTGCAGTATGGAAGAAAACTATATCCACCAAAAAGAACCTTTTCCAGATATCTACATAGACGTTTGTTCTTAGCTCTACGGGAGGGAAAACCATATTAAAACCGCGCAGGCAATTTGCTCAGGTTGAAAATAATCTAATTTTCGAAATCCGTTGATCTCGTAAGGGAAAACAGTACTTCTATGGAAAAAACGGAGAGATGAGTTTTACAAAAATATCGTATATACCTTTGAACCTTAAAGGGTGATATTTTTAATGCAAAAACACATTGAGAAGAATTTGAACATTTTATGTTGAATACAATAATAATATGTATAGGATAACGTGCGGGGAAAAAGACGTCACAATGAAATAATTTCTCCATGTCAAGAGAGGGCGGTGTTACTGCCATGCAGTCACACTTTCACGGTTGATGGAAGGCTTGTTAGTTTACTCTCTGCTCTTTAATTGTTGCCTCGGTCAGTTCAGACGACGTGTGCAGTCAGTAGGTCGGCGTCAATTCTCATTTTATTCTCATTTACGCAGATCGTCAGTTTAATACAGGGTAAAATAAAAAATAAAGGAATACAAAACGAAAACAAAATGAAAAGCCGACCCAACCACAGAATTATCTTTGCTAGACGAGTTAACAGAAATTTCTGTTTAAAGACAGAAATATTTTGAACCAAAAATGTCTTGAAAAACACAAATGATGCATGACTGTATGATGACCTTGCAAAACTTAAAGTATGGACTCCGAACAAAAAAAAACATCGAAGTGGATCCGCACTTTGTAAACCACTGCCGGGATAATGAACCATAATAAAGGAAGAAGAAGGGAAAAAAGTGAAGTAGAGATGTCATGAAAAAGGCAAAATGGAATAGTGCGAGTTTATCAAGCAATAATGGTCTTCTCGCGTGACAAGATTTGCGCGGAAATTTGGTTGCGATCGAAGGCTGGGCGGGGCTAGGCTCTTAAACGCCCCCGGGGCATGAAACTGCGGCAATGCCTCAATGTGTTCGGTGTCTCCTTATGTCTTATATTTTTTTTCTTCCTTTTTTTCTTCTTCTCC